TATCACTTCAAGTTGATCTAGATAGGGTTTTGAAATGGTCAAATGATTGGCAAATGCAGTTTAATGCTGATAAATGTAAAGTTCTGAGGTTAGATAATGATGATAGAGTTACAAGAAACGAGCTAGATGGTGTTGAGATTGCGAAGTCGGATTGCGAAAGGGATCTGGGAGTTATGATTAGTAAGAATTTAAAACAAAAGGATCAATGCATAAATGTTCGTAATAAGGCAAATCAGACACTTGGATTTATTAATCGCAGCGTTAGTAACAAGACACCTGGTGTGGTTCTCAAGCTATATCTTGCTCTAGTTAGGCCCCATTTAGATTATGCAGTTCAGTTTTGGTCGCCATATTATAGAATGGATATAAATTCACTTGAACGTGTCCAGCGTAGGATGACTAAGTTAATTCCCCAAATTAGAAATCTTTCATATGAAGAAAGATTAACAAAGCTTAAGTTGCATTCACTGGAAAGGCGAAGAGTTAGGGGTGACATGATAGAGGTTTACAAGTGGGTGAATGGACATAACAAAGGGGATATTAATAGGGTATTAAAAGTATCAACACAAGACAGAACACGAAACAATGGATATAAATTGGATAAGTTTAGATTTAGGAAAGACTTGGGTAAATACTGGTTCAGTAACAGGGTTGTTGATTTGTGGAACCAATTACCGCGTAACGTGCTGGAGGTGGGGTCCCTCGATTGTTTCAAGCGCGGGTTGGACAAGTATATGAGTGGGATTGGGTGGTTATAAATAGGAGCTGCCTCGTATGGGCCAATAGGCCTTCTGCAGTTACCTTTGTTCTTATGTTCTTATGTTCTTATGTTCTTATGTGTGTTAGCTGTAATTACCTAAGTGTAGTTACAGGATGAGAGCAACACTCTTGGTGTCCCATCTTCCCAGTACTCTTTTGTCATGTAACACTTTGAAAGTACTGATGGCTTTGGCCTCCACCACCTTCTCACTTAGTTAGTTCTGACCGTCTACCACTAAAAACAAAAACAAAAAACTCTTGACCCCCTGAAGGATTCAAAGCTGGTCAGCCAGGGCCTCTACACCCCTTGGCATGTCCAGTACTATACCACTCAGCTACAAGCTGTACAAAAAAGGCGACCCCTACATTCTTCTTCTTCTTCGCAATATGTGCAGTTTACATGAAAGGTCAACCTCCTGATGACTGCATGAGTGGTAATGTCGAAAGATGTGGCACTCACAGAAGTGCATTAATGTTCATCATTTGGCAGAGGGTGGAAGATATCAATGTCTTCTATTTGTGTGAGGGTAAAGACAAAATAAACATATCTCAAGTTGACTATTTCCTTAACAGCATGAACTCCTGTATGCTAATCCCCACAATCACCAAACCTACCCGAGTCGAAAGTTGCGAAATGACAGGGGCCTTAAGAAGACTTTGATAAAGCCGCCTTCAAACGCCATAGCAACTTCAAATTCATTTGACGTTTTGGAGGACGAGTGCTGTGGAGAGACTGTGGATCGCGCAAAAGGGAAAGCAACGAAGAGAAAGGAAGCGCAGGCCCCTCAGAAAGTAAAGGAAGTACCTAAGCAAACATTAGTTGTGGGAGATTCCCAGATAAGGTATTTGGATAGAACGTTTTGTGCTAGAGATAGGGGGAACAGGTTAAGGGTTTGCTATCCCGGAGCTGGCATTGGTGATATTATAAACAACATGAATGATATTATGGCTGGTAATGGGAACAATCCCATTATTTGCATTAGCGTGGGAGGAAATGATGTTGGTCGAGTCAGGAGTGAGGAACTGATTCAGAGGTATAAAACAGCCATAGAGTTAGTTAGGAGCAAGGGAGGAAT